CTTTTTTTGGTGGTACTAGGGATCAAACTGAGGACCTTATGCTTGCCAGGCCAGCACTTATTCCACTGAGCTATCTCCCCAGCCCCTATTCATTTATATTTTATTTATCTATATCATAAAGTGGGTTGAACCTAGGGAATAATGAGCTACATCACTAGCCCATTTTATTTCATTTTATTTTATTTTAGTTTTAGTTTTTAGTGTTTTTTGTTTTTTGTTTTTTTAAGACAGGGTCTCGCTATGTAGCCCAGGATCAAACTCGTCCACCTGCCTCCACCTTTTTAGTGCTAGAATAACAGATGTGCACCACCATACCTGTCTGGCATGCGCTCTCCGTCCTTCTTCCTTTCTTCCCTTCTCCCATTTTTTCCTTCTTTCTTTTCTTGGTGCTGGGATTAAGCCCAGGTCTTTACATGTGCTGGACCAAGTACTGAGCTACATCCTCAGGTCCTAATATATGGATTTTTGTTAAATGCATTTAGTTTTTTTTTGTTTTTGTTTTTTGTTTTGGTGGAACCGGGGATTGAACTCAGGCCCTGCGCTTGCCAGGGAGTGCATTTAGTTTTTATTTATTTATTTTTTGTTTGTTTTGTTTGCAGAACTGGGGATTGAACTCAGGCCTTTCTCTTGCCAGGGAAGCACTGATTCTACTGAGCCCTCTCACCGGCCCCTTAAATGCATTTAGTTTGGTCAAGAACTAGTACAATTGTTTTTATATTTTAGTGCATTTGTGTACTGCAAACATGTACTAAGACACATTTAAAAGATGAAAAATTAGGGGCCGGGGAGATGGCTCAGTGGAATAAGCGCTTCCCTGGCAAGCGCAAGGGCCTGAGTTCAATCACTGGTTCCGCAAAAAGAAAGAAAGAAAGAAAGAAAGAAAGAAAGAAAGAAAGAAAGAAAGAAAGAAAGAAAGAAAGAAAGAAAGAAAGAAAGAAAGAAAAAGGCTCAGCAGATTAAAGTGCCTGCAAGCAAGTGCAGGGGCCGGGGGTTCAGTCCCTGGGCCTGCCTTGCTGACCCCGCTCCCAGGGCACTCTGAGACTGCAATTGAGATTGAGCATGGTAGCATGCGCCTGTAATCCCAGCTCTTGGGCGGCTGTAAACAGGCAGATCACTACAATTTGGATCTAGTAGTGAGACCCTGAACACCCTGTAGACACTTCCTTAAAATACAAAAAAAGAAAAGAAAAATGGAAACAGTGTAACATACAACAATCATGTTACAGATTTTCAAAACAAGAATAGCTAATTAACAATTGTTCTATTATCAATTATATATTGTTACTATATTCAGACAGATCTGAATGCTGGTAAAGAGATAGAAGATGTGATATATTTGAAAGCCTCTCCAGGTGTGGTGGTAAACATCTGTGATTCCAGCACTAGGGAGGCTGAGGCAGGAGTATTGTCACCAGTTTGAGGCCAGCCTGGGTGACACAGTGAATTCAAGGTATCTGAACTACATAGTGAGAATGTCTCAAAAAAAAAGCCTTAAAAAGGAAATTGTAGGGCTGGGGAGCTAGCTCAGTGGTCTTAAACGCCTGCCTTGCAAGTGCAAGGACCAGGGTTTAATCCCCGGTACCACCTGCTGCGCCGGCCCTGGAACCCTGGGCACATTATGCAGGCCTGAAACCAGGTGTGGTGGCACACACCTGTAATCCCAGTGCTGGGGAGGCTGAGGCAGGAGAATCACTACAAGTCCAAACTACATAGCAAGACCCTATAGCGGCAAAACAAGAAAAAAAGGAATTGAAATGGTTAGGATGGGGATTGGGGAATGACTTAGTGATAACTAGATAGTGAACTAAGCCAAATAAAATCCTAAATAACACATGATGTTGAATATATAAGGGACTGGGGAAATAGCTCAGTAGAATAAGCGCTTGCCTGGCAAGTGCAAGGACCTGAGTTCAATCCCCAGTATCGCAAAAAACAAAAACAAAAA